TGTGTCTGCGCTCCTCACAATTTGTCTCCGAAGGGCTCCCAGGGGCAGGAGTGGGCGGGGCCTCGGCTTTGACTCATGGCATCTCTCCGAAGCCAAGACAATTCACTGATGCCGTGCGGCTTATCTTAAAAACTCTTGTGCATTTTGTATTCTACTCCATAAAACAAACTATATTTGTGTGAGTCAACGGTGACATTTTAAAATTATTTACAACCGAATTACTTAACTTTTGCTCTTCCTTCTACATCATCTGGTCAAAGTGACGCCCTCAGAATCTGTTCCCGGTTTATGCCGGGCCCAGAGAGGGTGACTGGGACATAGGCTGATAGGTCTGAAGGAAGGAGGGAGCTAGGCCAGCTGTGCTCATCAGAAAGCCTTGGAGTGTCACCATGGCAGGGAGAAAGCATCCAGAGGCTTCCTGGGGACCAGTCTCACAGCTGGAACGGCATCTCCCTGTTGCCGCTGGGCTGCACCCGTAGTCTCTAAGTCAGTGTGTGGTCTCCCACTCCTGGTGGGTGGAGGCTGAAGGGGAGAGGGACCACGGCCGCACGCCGGGCACAGGCGGCTTGGAGGCGGGGCAGGGGGCAGAGCTGGGCACCACCCCAGTTGCAGGTGGTCCATCTGTTAGCAGAGAGGTTTTGCTCAGAAAAGCGAGGAGGCCAAAGCTTGCTTTTCCTTCTCTTCACCTCCTCTGAAAGGAGCAAGGCTCTCAGTCTTCCCAGACACCTACCCTGGAGCCCGGCTGCCCCAGAGGTCAGCTTACCAGGTAACCTCTCAGCTGGCCCCGGGGAGCTGGGGGGCAGGCTGCCCCAGGTGTCTGTCCTGCCCTGAGGCTTACGCAGGAGGCAGGCCCCTGGAGGGCGAGGCGGGAGCTCCAATCCCTGGTCTCCCCTCTGCCTGAGATGACCAGGTCTCTCTCAGCCCCTGAGGCTCAGCAGGAGAGCTCCCCAGGGGGCCGCGTCCATGCCTCACTCCAATCCTCTCGCCCAGACACGAGGCTCAGCTGCCTGAGAAGCGATTGATTGAAAATAGCGTCTAAGCAGCTTAGCGGGGGTCCAGGAAGGGGGCCGGTGGGGTGGGGGCGGGGCCGGGGGACCCTGGGTATCCTGAACCTGGCCCTGGTGAATCGGATGACTGGAAGAGAAAGAACAGGGAGCACGGGAGTTCCACTCCCCTTCTCTCCCAGGGACAGGGGTCACTTAGAGGTGCCCGAGGCCTGCGGGCCACCTGGGCTGCTTCTGTCTGCAAATACAGGCACAGGCAAGACGTCTAAACAGACGGCACATCCTCTGCACTCAGCACGGCCCGAGCTGTTTGTATCCACGGGACCCACAGCGCAGGCAGAAGGGGCGTTTCCCAGAGTCCCTCTCCAAACCATCTCCAGAGCGAACCTGCCGCCTGGCTGCCTTCGTCCCCAGTTCATCTCCAGCAGCGTGCTGGCCTGTCCCAGACCACTCTGGGGGGCCTGCAAATGGCCTGGGGGAGGCCTGAAGAAATCTGCTGTGCATCTGGACTTTTGGGGGAAGAAATGGTGAAATCGGTAGTTCCTGGAGTGCTTGGGGTCCTGCTGCCCTCCCTCCCCGGAAGACTCCTTCCCACCCCTCTTAGCCTTGCTGACGCCTGTTCAGGTTCGAGGTCTCAGGGAAGGGTTGCTTCCTCCACGAAGCCTTCCTGACCACTAGGCTGGATTAAGCTCTTCGTCGGTGCCCCATGGGTACCCATTCGCTCACCCGCCCATGCATTCAGAAAACAAATACCTACTGTGGTCTACAACGGGCCAGCCTGCGCTGGGCAGTGGGGGTCCAGGCAGAAAGGGCCTGTGCCCCATTGAGCTCAAGGTCAGGGGCAGGGCAAGGGAGGGGAAGGCCCATAGGTTTGGGGGAGGCGCTGCAGCTCTGGGGACCCAGAGGGCTGAGCTCCCCAAGTTTGGCGCGGAGCCGGCTGGACGCTGGTGGCCTTGCATGCCCCCTTCTCTCTCCTCCCCACAGTTCCAGCTCGGGCTCCACGTGTATGGCTGAGCCAGCCAGCCGGTACTTAAGGGATGTGGCGTCCCGGGACCCATCGTCCCCCACCAGCCAGCTGCTCAAAGGCTGCGCTCGGGACAAAGGCTGAGCTACTGATGCTTCTCTGCGCTCTGCGCCTCCCACCCCGCCTTTCGTGTGGCAAACAAAGCCATTCGTAAAATCAAATGAAGGCAGAAATTCTCTTCCCGAAATATTTCTCCCCTCTGGGATGGCAGGGGTGGGAGGAGGGGGGAGGAGGCCACCAAGAGCGACCCTAGGACTGAGGGCACAGCGACCGACGGCGAGAAACAGAGCCGCTCACCGGCGGCGGCGGCGGCGGCCGGCAGGAGAGCGCGCGGCTCCGCACGTCCCTGCTTGTCCCGGCGCTGAGGAAGGCGGGCGCTTGCACCGCGCGGGGCCGTGCCGCAGTCCCCGCGGGCGCGGGCTCAGCCGCCAGCCGGTCCGCCAGGCCCTCTGCATTGCAGCTGCGCCGGGCGGGCGGACGTGTGCATGCGTGTGTGTGCGTGTGCATGCGTGTCTGTGTGTGCGCACACCGCCCCCGGGCCCTCGCGCCCCAGTTTGCTCGGCGCCGCAGTCCCTCGCCCCCGCCCCGTTCCCGCCACTCCCCCGGCTCGCTGCGGCGCGCGTCTCCACCTCCAGCCGCTCAGGATGGAAAATTTGCCCAGCAACCGCGGGGGCGGGCGGGGCTGAGCAAAGGCGCCGCAGAGACCGGAGGGGAGTGGAGGGGGAGGCTTCTGACCGCGCGCCACTGCAGCCTCTTCCCCGGCGCAAAGTTCTCTGCCAGGCCACAGGGTTGGCCAGAGGCCTGGGGACCCCCGCCCTCCGGCCTGTCCCAGCCCACCCTCCGGCCTGTCCCAGCTGTCCCCTTTGTACTGGGCAGACGATGGCCCTGGCGCTGGGGCCGTGGTTCTGCTCCGCCCTCCCTCCCCCGACTGTCATTGTTTATCAGGCTGGGAAAAGGATCCTCGGGTGGATAAGTCACCGGTACTCATTCAGGGACAGAAGAGGGAGGTTTCGCTCTCCCCCTCCCCGGTGGGGATCTCACCATTCCTTTGCGCTGGTCACCTTTCCCCTCCCTCACCTGAAAACACACCTGGCCAGGGGTCAGGGAGAGGGGTGCATGGTCTTCCGGGCGTGATTTGCTCTCTGTTGGGGGTGGCCCTGCCACGTCCCCTTCTGCCCTCTCTCCTGTGTATTCTGCCAGGGGCTGGGGGACGCTTATTTCAACTGCAGGCCTACTGGAGGGCAGAGCTCCGAGTCCCCATGGAGGCGGCTGCTGGAGAGCAGGTGGCCAGCTTGGCAGCAGGCCCACTGCCCGAGGGCCTGGTATGGCCGAGGGCTCGGGTGAGTTGTCGTGAAGCCGTGAAGGTGGCTTCCCTTCCCTACAATCTACATCACAGCATCTTCCTCCGCCCGTGACCTGGTCCGGCTGGCTCTGCAGCCTCCCAGGGGACTGGCTGCTGTGTTTCGAGCTCGAAGACACCTCCTGGCTGAGACTCGGTGGTCAGAAGGGCTCCATCTCCCAGGCAGGCCCTGCACTGGTCCCAAAACCCCTCAGTCGAGGTAGCCTGGTCACTCGGGGAGGCCAGCGCTCTGCAGGGTTCCCTGCTCCGTTCCCCATTTGCTCTGCAAAACCGAAACCGGATTTCCTGAGCGGGAGCCCCGGTCACCCGGCCCTTCTCCGTTACATCCTGCCGGTCATCCTCGCAGCCAGGATGGCTGCCAAGGCCAGCTTGGTGCTCCCAGGCAGCCACTGCCAGGGTGCAGATGCCTGCTGACCCAAAGCCACCTCTGGGAACAACTCCGAAGTTTCAGCGGCCAGGGTGGCTGCCAGGCACCCTGTCACTGCCAGGGCTGAGCTTTGTATACGGGGTGGCTCAGGAAAACTGCCCGGAGCACGTACCCAAGCCCCGAAACCCTTCAGCAGCCAGCAGCAAGGGGAGCCTGAGAGGTGGGAGGGCGAAGCGCACTGTGGACAGAGGGTGCCGAGGAGATGGCCCCGCAGAGGGCCCCAGGTCAGCTCGGCCAAGACCCAACACCTTGGGCTGGTGAGGTCTCCAGAGAGGTACCCCACGGACTGGCACCTCTGCGGGCTGCCCTGATACCGAGGCCGTGTGCAGCCATCCCTCCCACTCGATCCCGGGGCAGAGGGAGGACCGTCAGCTCAGTTCCCCAGGGCTGACTCCTGGGCTTCTTCTAGGCTCGTCCTGGCCAGAAGGGCAGTCTCTAACCTTAGCGTGCCCCGCCCACCTTTGGCAGCTGGTCGGTGCAGAGCCTCTGGTGGCCCAGGGCAAGCTGCCAACACTAGCCAGCCCCGTGGACAAGGCCAGCAGCTCTCTGAGGCCCTTCCTCGGCCAGCAGGTCCTGTGTCCTCCCTTGGAGCCTATTTGAGCTCCTTGGCCCTTCCCCCTCAGCCGCGATCGTAATCCTGGGCTTATTTCAGATGCTCCACAGGGCAGAGGCTAAAACCAGCCTAGAAGCAGGGGGGCGGATGGGTGTCTGAGGGCTTCCGAGAGAGGGTTTTTGACGCGTTAACCCTAAGAGGCAGAAGCACCCAACGCACAATCTCAGAAGCCCAGCCTGAGCTGCCCCCCACGTGGCTTTCGTCTCTGAGAGATTTGGGGCTTGGCGATGGCCTCCAGGAGCTTCAAGGACACCCTGGACACTGCCCCGGGGGGCAGCAGAGGATAGGCCTCTCGGCAACACAGGGACTTGTGTGGCCACTCGGAGGCCCCTCGCAGGAGTGACAGCCACAGGCCCCAACTCACATACTTCATCCCATCCCTGGGAGACACTGAGGTTAAGGGCGGACACCCCGTCATTCCTCCGGGGGTGGAGACTTGTGCCCTTCGCCTCCCACTCTGGTCAGGAACAAGGAGACCTGGATGCGTCCTCCTTTTTCGCACCTTGCCCACAGGGTCCCCAAGTGACCCTCTCCCACAGAGCCTGGCAAGGTGGCCTGAGAGCTGCTCTTACCGTCCAGTGACAGCCAGTCATGCTGGGAGGAAGGGAGCGTGGGCAGAGCGCGGGCTTTGTACTCGAAGACCACTGAGTTGGAGATGATCTGGTTGTTGAAGGCAACTTGTAGAGTCACGAGGCCGGTGTCATGGGCTGAAAGCAACGGAAAGAGAGGTCAGGCCGGAGGCGGGGACCCGAGGACCTGGGGCGGCCCCTCCCCGTCACCCCTCACCGGGTAACCCTGGGCGGTGCCTGCTCATTCCTCGAGGCCCCAAGGCAGTGCTGCTTCTGCCAGAGACCTTCTCTGGACCCCCTGACACAGTCAGGCGTCCTGGGTCACTCCACACTCATGTCCTAATTGCCTCGTTGCTCCTCCGCTCCCCAGTGTGGGCGGGGACCGGGAGATCAGTGCAGATTTGCTGAATGAATGAATGAATGAATGAGTGAGTGAGTGAGTGAATGAACGGCGCCCCGCTCGCCTGCCCGCCCGGCCCGCTCATCCCAGGCGGGGTTCGGGTACAGCATTTGCTTCAGACTCCCCTGTGCTCATTTGTCTCACCTTTTCCTACGAGCTTGTCCTGACTCACTTAGCACAGCCTGCTGTGTATTTTTAGAAGTTCTTCAGTCTCCCCCGGCGAGAGCAAGGGCTCCGGCTGTTACTCCGGGCCCTGCGGTGCCGAGCCAGGGTGCTGGCACGAAGCAGCTTCTGGGAGGCAGGCCCGTGTGGGTCCCCTTAACTGCTCTGGCCCCGCCACAGGCCCAGTGAAGACTGGATTGGTTGATGATCGAATGGGATGTCCTCACTGTCACCAAGAGGCAGACATGGCCCTGGCGGGGACCCGCTTCAGTTCTGGGGTGGAGGCCACTGCTCCGGGTTCCTGTGGGGATCTCGGGGGGCCGTGGCCCAGAGATGGGCCGAAGGCTGGTAGCGGCTGCGCAGGCTGCTCTGCCCCGACAGGCCTTGGCCCCCGGGCCACACCAGGGCTCTGTGCTCTCTGTCCTGCTTTTCTGGAACACCAGAGACCGGTGCCCAGGGCCTCCCAGGACAGACTTCCAGGGAGGACGCACAGGAGGATCGTGTTACTATTTGGGCTGTTGGTTCTCAGAGGCTCACGGACTGCAGGAAGCTGTCCAAGTCAGCTGCTCCCCAGGGCGGAGTGAAGCTCTTCCCTATGATGACATCTCATGGGGACCTCACGTCCCATGGGAAAGCAGCTCATTGACCCATGGCTTCTGTCCTTCCGAGGTGCAGGTGTTACGCCGTCTCTGGAGCGGGTCTTCAGGAAGTCAGTGCCCAGGGTGACCCGTGGGTTCTCCCGTGCTTCTCCCGCTGCTGCGGCCTGTCAGCTCCAGACCCCGGGCTGAACCGACTGGCTCCACAGTGGGTGCGGGTCTCCCGGGACCCCCGTGCCGCCTCTCTGGGCGGGGATCTCCGCCAAGCCCAGAACCTTCGGAGGTGTGACGGCATCCCCGGGCAGACCCCCAAGCTTGTGGTCACTCGCCTGCCCTGGGGAGGAGCCTGCTCAGCTCTGCTCCTCGTGGCAGGCCTCCGCCCCTCGGCCGGCCCCTGGGGAGCTCAAGGCCCGAGAGGCCTTCTCCACCGCTGCTCTTCGGCCGGGTCCTGGCACTTGCACGACCTGCAGTGACGTTGGAATGGTGGCCCATTCAGAGGCCTCCCTTCCTTCTCCAGAGAGACGGAGCGGCGAAGACCTGCCGTGAGCTCCTGGGCTCAGCCCAGCAACCCAGCCCACGAGGGGCCACGGCACGGGACACTCCCTTGACAGTCCCCTTCCCTCCTCCTCATCTGCGTCCTGCCTCCTCCACCTGCTTCTCTCCATCTCCGCTGCCACCGTGCCAGCCCAGGCTGCCATCATTTCTTGCCCAGGCTCCTGCATTAGCCTCTGCTGAGAACAACCGCGGCACCCCCGAGACCTGTTCCTGCTGGGACGGTGTTGGGGGGCACAGTCCAATGCGACAGCCATTAAACCAGCGGGAGCCCGCGTCCAGCCTGCTTCCTCTGGCTTCCCTGCTCTGTTCGTTCTCCCTGCAATCCACGCGCCCACGTACCCGGCTTTTAAAGACATACTTTCCATCAGGTCGCTCCCCAACTCGAAACGAATGGCTTCCCATTGCGAATAAAGCCAAGCCGAGCACCTTCCCATGCCCTGGAAGGATGGGCGTGATTTGGTCCTTGTCATCCTCTGCAACTGTGCCGTGTTCAACTCCCGCACCTCTGCATGCTCCAACTTGCCAAGCTTCTGCCCACCTCGGCCTTTGCGCTTCCTCTGCCCGCTGCCTGCGTGCTCCCCACGCACCAACGCGCATTTCATTGTTCAGGTCCCGGCTTCATGTCTGGCCTGTGCGAGGTCTTCCCTCATCCGCCTGTTCAAAGGAAGCGCTCTCTTCCCAAGTGACTTGACCACGCTACCCCGTTTTACCCTCCTGATACAGTTTTCTCCAGTTACCTCGGTTGTTTCTTTGTTCGCTCGTTTGCTGTCTGTCTCCCGCAGTCACTGTAAGCTCCGTGAGCACTGGGACCGGGTCTGTCCTGATTTCCCCTTTCTGCCCGTGCCAAGGCCAGGGCCTGGCGCGTTAGGGCCGCTCGGTAACTGTTGGATGCATTGCTTCAAAATTTTCAATTTTGTCTTTTGCCTTTTGGGGACCTCCCAGGAATCCAGGGTGGGGCGGTCCGGACGCCCCAGAGCAAGGTCCTCTTGTGGGTGGGCTCTTCTCCCCTATCCCAAGCCCAGGCTGCCTTTCCTCAGTCCCCAGTCCTCCCAGGTTGCCGCTTTCTCCTCTGCTCTGACTTGCTTGTTTCTCTCCTGACCTTGAAGCATGACCGGAGCCTTGCAGGGGACAGATGCCATGGCTGTGTGTCTTCTGCGGCCCATGGTGGGCGTGGAGCTGCCGTGTTCTTGCCCAGGGTCGAGCCTCCTCCCCCGCTTTGCCTGGGCCTGCGTGTAGGGCTGGCGGCAGTGGCCATTTGTGCCCCCTGTGCCCCTCCCCCGCTCACCTCCTAGTGCCCCTCGTTCTGTGTCACTCCCAGTCCCTAAGGTGGCCTGGCTTGTGCTCATAGGCCTCTGAGCCCTTTTTTCAGTGAGCCCAGTTGGGTTCTGGCTTTGAGGGTTCGTTCTTCAAGTTCAGCTCCAGCTTCCCTGAGCCCCTGGGAGGGCGGGAGGATGAGGCCCCCGAGCAGCCAGCGCCATCCCTTATGGTCAAGGTTAGGGTTAATGTCTGGGTTATGCTTTGCTTCATTGCAGGTACCTACCTAGTACTTGGCAAACGATGGGATGAATGAAGAAATGAATGAACGAACGCATGCACGCATTCAGAGCTGTCTTATAGAGTGACATGCTTCAGTTTGGGCCTCAAGAAAGAGATGCCCCAAGGGGACCTCCCCCTTTGTGATTAGCTGTGCGACAGAACAGAGCTTTAGTGGCAGGTCCCCGGTGCTGGGTCGTCACCGAGGCTGTGGCTTCTCGCCCCTGGCCTGAGATGCAGCCTGTCAGAAGGGCCTGAATGACGGTGGCCCGCGTAGAGGGTGCCCGGGAGCTCTGGGGACCCAGACACACTCTGGGGTGAGAAGAACTGCTCGCTGAGACTGCACAGCCCCGATACCCTCTCCTCACGGCCCCCTCGGGCAGGAAAGAGCGAAGGCCTCGCACGTGGAGCACCCTAGTAAACGGGCACGTTAGCCAGGTGATCTGGGGTCTGGGGACTGTCCCTCAGCTCGTCTGTCTGACAGGTTTTTAAGGATGGAGAAACAGAGGCCCAGCGAGGTCAACTACCGAGCTAGTCACACAGATGGTACCTGGCCCATCTGGGCTGTACTGCAGTGTGACCGACCCAGCCCCCAGGGTTTGCCGGGCCCTGGCCTGGGACATCACCCAGAGGGCATGCAAAGGCTGGTTGGTTTTTTTTTGTTTGTTTTGAGGGTCAGATAACTTAGGACGGCAAGCTCTGGGTCCTCAGCCAGGCGAGAACCAGGTATAAGAAGTGGCATCTATTTATAGTCGAGGCGAGTTCTGTTCCAGCAGCAGGTGATAAGTGGACAATTTAATAACATGCTGCCCTCTCCCCACACTCGGCCAGCAGGGTGGGCGGGACACGTTAGCTGCACATAGTCCCCAGCCGCGATAGGCTGGCCCAGCCCCGCCAGCCCCCTGGATGGCTGAGCTCCAGGTGGAGCAGGGCTGCCGGGAGCAAAGGGGACTGAGTGAGTCCCGCGGAGCCAGCCAGGCAGCCACTGGGAGCAGGGCCAGCAGGCGGAGGCTACCGCGAGCACCAGCCCTGGCTCCCTGGATCATTTGGGGTGAAGGAGGTGCTGGGTTCAGGTGGAGGCCGAGCATGCGAGCCCGGCGTGGCGCATTCTTCTCTGGTGGGCTGCATGGTGGGGCACAGAGGGAGCGGGAAGAATGGTCCCTGTGAGCTCTGGAGCCTACGTGCAGGGGGAGCCAGACAGCGGGGTTGGCCCAAGGCTCAGGCTGGACCACCCCAGATCCTGGCACCTGGCACCAGTCAGCTCTGCTCCTGGGGACCCCTGCCCCCACTTCTCTTCCCCATCCCCAGCCCTCCACAGAGAGTATCCTCTCCTTTGTAGGCCTCCTGGCTTCAGACAACATGGGGTGTGGCCGCTGCCCCACCTGTCTGCCCCTCCGTCATTGCCTGGGCGAGCTGGGCAAGCCATCTCTGGGCTAATGATGTGTGCGAGGGGCCAGCCAGGGGGGTTCCCAGCACCAGCCCAGGGAACAGAAAGCGTGAGCTCTAGAAACAGATTCCTTCGCAAATAACTCTTTTCTTCTGTGATGTGCCAGGCACTTGGCGAGCCCTGGGGAGACTTGGTGGCCAAGGAAGACACGGACCTTGCCTGCATAGAGCCAACAGGCTAGTGGGGAGGTAGCGATGGCCAGAGGTCAAGGACAAGCGGATGATGATGAAACCCTGAGGGAGTCGGGAAGAGTCAGAGCAGCGTGGACAGCACACAGGGTCTCCCGCCCCTGGACCCGGAAGCAAATTCTGTACACGCACGACCTCCTGGGCACGGGGCGGATGGCTTCATCAGATCCTCGAAGGAGTTTGTGTGCACCCTCCTCCCCCACCGCCTGCCAGGCTTCTCCAGCCCTCTCTGACCTGCCATGTCCCAGGGG